TTATCGATAACATGCTGCTCTTTCTCATCCCACAATTTCTTTAGAAAATAGAACGTAAGATCTTTTTCTTAAAAAAAAAAAAAAAAAAAAAATAGCGACATACAAAGTAGCTGTAAACTGTCATACATACAGGAGACTCACCGTATCTTTTTTTATTAAAGCGTTGTATTGTATATAGCGTAAAAGAGCCTGTAATAGTCTCTTGGCAAGAGTTTTTACATTTCTGCGTTCATTTAATTATTCTCTATCAAACTCTTTATCGCTACAAGAGAGAGCCAGTACGGAGCTTCGTATGCGATTGACAAAATGCCGCGTCGAATTTTTTTAACCGTTTCCATAGTTAAAGGTTCAACGTTCGACGTCCGCTCGCGAAGAATTAATTCGCGACGACAAAGTGAGGAAAACGATGAAAACCGGATCGTGCGCGATAATAACGTATATCGACTGAACTCGGATGGCACGATGCGAGTCGAACGTGCCACACGCCACGCCGCGTTTGATGTCGACAGCTAGTGAAGCCCCTTCGGTGCGCTAAGCTCTCCAGCCACGTTATTGAGCACGATAGAATATTATACACGAGGTGTTAATCCAGCTTCATATAGACAGTCAATTCCGAGGATAGTTTCCTTTAACGAGATTGGCCGTCATTCTCACCTTAACACCATTTCCATTCTCAATTTCTTCGATATGAAGGGTTGAAATAGATTTTCAAGATAAATTGTAAATTTTCTAGAATAATACATATTTTATCCAATTTCTTTTAACCAAGTTCAATTAAATAGTCTCAAACGGCATTGACCACCAATCTTCTACGCGATCCTCCTATCTCGCTAACATATGCATGTATGTATTATGCGATGACACACCCGAGGCACCCCGTATGTAGGGTTGGTGGTCGGAAAGTGGGTAACGGTTTAACTCCTAGAACTATATCTACTCGACATGTAGATGTAGGGTCGACGTATAATCAGTATGCGGCAGCTTATGCATCAAACCGCGCCGCCACGAATCCATCGTACCTTTCGTACGATGTAAGGTGTATAGTGTACCCCCGACGCGAATCAATAATGTTGCAACGAATCTCCCGAGTCACGGCAGACTAGGCCATGTGGAGGAATTCAAGATTGGACGAAAAATTTCTCAAATCGCGTAACGGAGAAAATCAGGGCCGCGCCACACCGCGCGTCGCGTCGTGGCGAACTCAAGAAGGCTCGCTCTCTTCGTAACTCCTGGGGTTTAAGGGGATGCTGGAGCGACGGTCAAACTTGATCGACGTCGATAAAACGGATTTTTAACTCTAAATAAAATATTACGTACATTAAGAAAGCATTACACAAAACATTATGTACATTAAGTAAACCATTAAGTAAAGCGCATGTACATTTCTTGCTCTGCTGTATTCTGTATATCGCATGAATGCAAGGTTATGTACACTCAAATCATACTTTTCCTGTCATTTCTCTTGTAAGTTTTAAAATCATAATTTGAAGGTTTCGTGATTCTTATAAATTATTCAAATACGGTAAGGTACTTCTTGTTTGGATATACTTCTATCTTGAATTCATTTATATATATATGTGAAGAATAAATCTATACGTGGTACAATTTTTGTTTTAAATTTTTATACAGATTTATACTTTTTCCCAAAACTATTTATGTTTTCTCTTTTTTATTATGAAGAAGAATTTTTTATTCTGTACAACGAAATGGTTGGAAAAATACGAAATGAATGTTCCGTCGGTAACTCCAGCATCCCCTTAAGAGGGATAAGATTAAAGAAGCGATCCGATTACATTTTAATCGTTTTAGAGTCACGAGCGATTCTATTCGATATCGTGTGCGAGAGATTCCGATAATCCCACTCTCCTCGCTGCTGTTACAAATTGCAGCTTTGATGCTCGCGCGCAATCATTCGTTCGAATTGCAAATATTTAATGGACCTGGCAGTTTCAGCCACGCGCGCGCGCGCGCGCGGATCACCCTGATGTCGTCAGCGTACGGCGACTTTCAACATTAAACATTTTCTTTGTCTTCCGTACTTGGGCTGGCATGTTCTTCTCTTACAAACAAGTCCAACAATACTTGGCTTTTGACACTTGCCTTGCCTAAAAAAAAATGCTGATTTTTCTTCCTCTCCTCTTTTTGTCAAATTTTTTCCAATAATACCGCAAGTATCGCGAGCGGTAATTATTAACAGTTTCTATTTTTTAGAATATTGTATTTCTTATATAAATATGATAAGATTCCTTTTTTTTTATTTTTACAATAATTACGTTCTTTTTACTGATGAAATATTTAACTTTTTATCACTTTTATTTTTATAATATAATTTATTCGCTTAGACTGCCTTTAATGGATAAGAAATGCTGGCACTACTAGTGTTGATTAAATCAGAAAAATCCATTGGATGATTGTAGAAAAGTTGACACGCATTGTCAAAAGGAATGAAAAAGTTCTATAATCGCGTGTGTCGTTAAATTTTTCATTCGATGGAATTCTCGTTTGCTATCATCATCTCATAAGTGCATTACACGGTAAGTCGTAAACGGCTTAATCATATATAGATATCTATTATAAGGACGAGACCAAAATGGAATATGATCATGTTATGATTACGACAAATACTCTGTTGAATACAATATTATAAGTTTCATCTTTCCTCATCTCTTCCTTTTCTATATAAATCAAATATAATTCAAGTTTATTTGTATTTCTCGCGCGCACGTTAATACTCCCCCTGGTTCCATCGCTTTTAACCACTTTGAGGATACTTATGTGAGATAAGAAAAAAGAAAAGAATCCCTTTTTCATTGTCGTCGATCAACGTATCGTCGATGAAAAAGAGAAGCGCACGAGAACGGCTGTCTATCCAAACATTTACGAGCTCGCGATATAGACATTATAGACTAGTGCCTAAATATAGCGGCGCGTGTTTCCCTTTTTAAGACGCGTCGAGGTGTGTTATCACGTAATTGAAACGTCGCTTACTTCTATCATCGAGTCGAGACGCGCGCACAGTTAAAATATGTTAACAAGGACACACACACGCACGCACGCATACACGGAATTGTTTTTTCTCCTTTTTTCGACATAACGATTACGCAGTTATCCTCGGCTTTTTATATATCTCGCATTGACACTGAAGATCATTCGATCCGAAAATGATTCCCATTAAATCAACAATTAATAATCCTTCGTTGTACACGGTAATCATGTGACGGACAAATATTTATTCTCCACACATTGACTCAGATTTGTGATGATATTTTCGTGAAGGAGTATCATATCGTTGTGCCATATTTAGTGCACGTAAGAAGGTTACATACTTTTACTAGGTCACTTTTACTATGTTTGTAAACGCGCGCTCGCTATTTCTTTCTCGGATATCTTTTCGAGTAAAGATTCATGAAAAATTTACCAGCTATTCCTATTGCGACGTGTCTAAAATGAGTCACGAAAAAGATTTTTAGATGTGATAAAATTCACATTTAAATTAATAAAATTGCATGTATTCGTATATACTGTACGTTCGCGAATAGACGAGCGTATTTTTAATACATATACTAGGTGCAGTCGTATAGAAATACGCGGACCACTACATGCGGCTTATAGATACTACAAGATTATAGACATCTTGTGTCTCCGTCATCTACGAATATGTAGGGAACACTATATCTCACCGGAGCGCGATGCCTAAAAATACATCGCGCTATTTTTACTGTCAACGATTCCTGCGCTGCACATGAGAATGAGAGAGAGAGAGAGGGAGAGAGAGAGGGAGGGAGAGAGCGCTGCACCGCCGAGTCGCCGCACTAATGGAGAAAAAAAAAGAGAAAATGCAAGAAATCCACGATAATGCGATTATGAGTGATACGAAACATTGATGAAGGTAAGAGAGAAAAAATGAAAAATAAAGATTCGTCGTGCTTTCTCATCACTCATTTAGTGATATACCACTAACTGTTCAAATAGAGAATTCGGTTGACGGAAATATTACATACGTTTTCTCTCATCTTGCGATATTTACGTACTGCAAGGCAGCATTAAAAAATATAATAATTATTCCGATTTATTCCGTTTCTGGTAAACAAAGAGTACTACACGATTCCACAGAAGAGGATACTGATATACAAAAACTGTCAAATTAAAATCTTTGACAACTTGACAGGTGAAAAACAGTCACATGTTGATTATTGATTAAAGTCGTAGTTTACATTGGGAAGATTTACGTCTTTTCCTTTGTATGTGTGAGTGTATATGTTAAAAAATCTAGTGCAATATCCCTTGCGTTTGAAATCGCATGCGATCGGCTGCTTAATCCTCGTTAGTCAGATACAATCGCTATCGTAAATTCATCGAATTACGCGACGACGCCGCTTTATGTAACTAAGTCAACGCTCGTATCATTGAATTAGCGCACAAAAAAGCTCGAGGTTGGGTCAATTTGTCGAGAGAGTCTCTGGATAAACGGGTGGCCTCTATTAAAGTGATTACCTTGTTAAGGCATTGTTTCCATTGGCATTAAATCGGTGTCACAAGTCTATAAATACACGCGCGTATACCGTGTGTGTGTGTGTGTGTGTGTGTACACACACACACACACACACACAATGACTTTTTTATTTTCTCTAGTAATTTAGCAATTATAATAAATTTGTCCACGCATGTAAAAAATGGAAAAAATTTTTTTTAAACAAAGTTGTATTTGTCAAGTAGATATATTATTGAACGATAGAATGGAAAAAATGATCAAGCTGCGCTTTGTTAAACGAGATTTGTTCTAAAAAAAGACCTTACGCGCCTAACGACGACAAATCCGCAATGTATAATGGTGTTATCGACGTGTAAACGTTATCTTACTCGATTTCTTATCGTACACGTGATATCACCCCCGTAGCAGATTACAATAACCGCATCTCGTACTCTTCACGTATAGGCAGATTCAACAATCGGCGATCGAGTCGACGAACGCAAGTTTGTATAGAAAAAGAATGACTTACTATTTGGCGCAATCGATAAGTTGATATTCGTTACTCCTCTCGAAGCTTTGCTGAACGCCCCGATCTTTCCAAAGTGTTTCGACGATTTCGTAGAATTCCTGAAAGAACACATCAATCGATCAATGACTCGCTTTTGCAAATCTTTTCGAGAAAGAAATCTACTCATTCCATTGTTTCTATAGGGATCGAGAGGAAAGAGCAATGTGTATAACACATAATATAGATATAGGTATCGTAGCTTTAAATCGAAAAGATGAAAATGTAAATCTTTCAAAATTTTTCAAAGATATAGATATAGGTAGGTAAAGCAACCCACGAACGATTCTCGATTGCGGCGTAAAGACTCCGTCGGCGAATTGAATGACATGAGTAATACGATCTATTCACGTAGGTATATTTATAGTGCATTTATCGCCGTCTTTATTGCACAGGATCGCCGGACTGCTGTAACGTTTAATGTTTAATTAGTGGTTAACTCGCTGCGGAAAAACGTGCCCGCAAAGTCCGCGACTTGTTGAAGAATGTAGTTGAATCTATATGCGAGAAATGTGTAACAAGCGTTGTTTCAATCAACCGCAAAGATTCAATTTTAACGTTGTGATGCATTGAAAAAAATATTTCGAAAAACAATGTCGTTATCTCGACTGTAAAAGCCATCAAGATTTTTCTCAATTTTACGTGAAAAAATTTGCAAATTGGAAATACAGTTGGAAGAGTTGTAACATACATTCTTATTCATGTTCCTCTGATTGCCTATATAATTATTAAAAATTAAAAACTCACTAGAATTCTTTATTCTTTAAACAATTAAGGAACTGATACGTTTCTCGAGGCACTATTACATAGCTGTATATTCAAAATTCATATGCATCTTCTACTAGGCGCATTCCACAGTCGCATTATAGACTATACGTTTAGTAGTACAATACTAGTTAAAATCGCGACTTGAATGTTACGTAAATAATGGCGACCACACAAGGTTATGCTTTGCGTTACTGATGGAGGATGTCAAGCGCATTAATAATTCAGATGTTATTCGGGAAACTCGGTTTCCTCATTTGCGTGGGTGGTTTTGCGGAAGGTTGGCGCTTTGGTTCCCGTGACATAACATACATTGAAAGTCTCGAAAATTGAGGAAACGATGGGGTAGAGAATAGAGTTCTTCTTCTTAAAGAAAACTAAACTTCTTGTTCGTTTTTCGTTCGAACTTATGTTCGTAATGAAATGTCAAACATTATAATTTCGGATATATGTTAAAAATAATTAAATAATTGAAATAAAATAAAATACAATAATAATAATCTAACAAAGAAAGGACAATAAGAGTCAGATAGTAAATAAAATAAAATAAAGCGGTTAAAACATTTAAGTAACTTTAACTGTGTATATACACAGAAATAATTGAAATACAATAAATAAATTAGAAGTACTTAGCCGCTTATGATGTTATAAAAATGATAAAAACGCAAATTTGTAAAAAAACGCAACTAGTTTCGACTCCAAGGATTGAGTCATCTTCAGACGTCCAAAAAGAAAAGAAAATTCATTGAATCTCTCCTTCCATACATACAGTCAAATCATAAAAAGATCACCAACTCCTCGATTTTCTTTATTATTGAATAACATTGATAATAAAAGATGGAAAGATCTTATATTAGACCAATGTATCAAACGAAAAATTATTTACACAAAATCGATTCGTCAGTTAACAGAGTGTATAATGAGAACAAACAAAAGTAAGACATAAAGTAAAATTTAAAAAATTGAAAAAAAGAGCCATGATAGCGGATACTTATTATATTTAAAGACTGAATATTAAAATTCTATTGTGCAGCTACTGTGACTGATGAAACTATACAAAGTTTTTTTTACAAATTTGCGTTTTTATCATTTTTATAACATCATAAGCGGTTAAGTACTTCTAATTTATTTATTGTATTTCAATTATTTCTATGTATATACACAGTTAAAGTTATTTAAATGTTTTAACCGCTTTATTTTATTTTATTTACTATCTGACTCTTATTGTCCTTTCTTTGTTAGATTATTATTTTATATAAAGAGTCCTTTATTTTTCATTTTATTTTAAAATACAATAATGTTATCTGGTAAACATTATATCCATAACTGCAATATTTTTAAGTTGAGAGTTTCTCGTGATCAATGACACGCTCTTGTAAACGGTGCGAATATTAAAAGTTGTCGAGTAATTGTGATGCAAGTATGCCGGTCCGCGTGCATAAATCAACGTCGAAACAACGTAAAGTATTATTAATTATTTGAGCATTCATGGAGTTGCACTCTTTCTCTCTCTCTCGTGCGATGATATATTCCTGGCGAAACATACAAGAAGAATAGAACCAGTGTGTGCATGAATTGCAAAAATAGAAATTTAGTTTATACTAGTACTATAATCTACAGACTCTATATTATTGCGTGTTTAAAACTCTTTCTTTCACACAACCAAAATTTACCCCGCAATTATTTCTATAATCATTGATTCAAATAACTTTTAACGGCAATTAACGAGTATTAAGGAATTAAGTAAATTTCAATTCGAAATAAGATATCATTTAATATTGGAGAATTATTTTTTTATAATGTAAACTATTAAATATACCGCTGACGTCTAATAATGACATTTGTCCAATGATAATACAGCGACGTTTGAGTATTCAAACAATAGGTACTCAATTATTGTATCGAAAATGTAATCGGCGCGACGCGGCGGTATAATTGACAAGCGTAGTTGACAATAGTAACCATTGGCATGTGCCCTTTCATCGCCTTAAGTGTCGCGGCGCGAACCTGCAGAACAGGACACGTTCTCACATGGCAGTCGGAAGCCCATCCCGAAGTACGTTGTCACGAAGCAGCGCAAGCTGCAAATCATGCAACAGTCGCGACCGGCTGGGTATGGCCGGCGTGCTTGGCACAATAACGACGACGGTTATATTAATAAATTCTCCTGTCGATGCTATTTCCACGCTTCCACGATCGATGGACGGACGCATCGTCGATCCGTCGCGTCGTCGTTCGCCACGCGCGAGAAAGGATCACCGTGTTGGTGCCGTACGTCTCCGCCTATTACCGCGATTATGCACGTACTAATAATTTCGTCCAAACGCGTCATCCTCTCTCGCTAAACCCCTAAACACTGCCGCAAAGCGTGTAACTCGGCTAAAAATACAGGGACCGCACGTACACATGCGTTGTAAAATTCGCATGCGGATAAAAGCCTCGAGGGCTTACAGTAGAGATCCTTACCGATTCAACGTAAATCCTACAAAGTTCTTTTTTTCAATATAATATTTATGTTTAAATAATATAATATATTTAATTTAATATTTATTATCACAGCATCTTCCATCCATCCCTTCCTCCCTCCCTCTCTCTCTGAATGTTTTACTTACTATTACATACTACGCCGGCCTTTGAAATAATATTTATTCATTTATTATACATATTGTACTGTATTCACTCGTTTACCTCTCCCGCATAAAATATCCAAGTGGAATTATTTAAAAGTTGGAATTACTTGACATTTTCGAGAGAATATTTCGGCATTCTCCATGTCCGAATTTCAATGTTTAACTTGACTTTTGCATTTATATTATTTGCAACAATTTATCAGTCAATTGTTTGTAAAAAAAATTTTTCCTTTAAATCCATATGATTTTTTAAAATTCATACAACGATGCCAATGTGTTTTGAGACTGTGCCGAAATTAAGCCTAGGATTTTCTTAAAATAAATCTCCGCGGAACACCCCCGCTTCTTCCCACTCGCATATATGGAGAGCCACCGAATGACAGTAACAAATTAAGCACGAATCGATGAAAGCGCCGGCAGAATTCGTGACAAGTATAACCGGAGTATATTGTTCGATGTTTTTCAACCATGACAAAAATGCCGGTGACATGCCAAATACAATATTTATTTATTCTTTTATAATTAATGCAATAAAGTAGTTTGTCATGAAAAACTTGTCTAATATGCATGATGCAGTCGTATTGATGCTCGTTCCATTTTCTCTGCGCATATGTCGAATTGATAAGTTAAACGCTACACTTCGCGCTTTAAAAAATATTCGAAATTTAAATTGAAAAAATGGTGGCAATTTGGAACCAAAATTTACCTATGATGAAATCGGTCAACTCTATACAGATTTGGACACAGACTTATATCTAGATTGCTGACTCAATGTGATAGAAAGAGATGAACCTATGATTCCGAGTTGTCCTTGTTTCTGTTCACATATGTGTATGCATCCTGTCTTGAGTATCGTGTGAATTTATGTGAAAACACTAACGTTGTTATCCGTGTGATTATGCATGTGAGAGTGAATGAACAAATACGACGCTGCTCAGCGTTGCTTCAAATATGGAGGTGAAGTCGGCAGTCTATTTATATAAATCTATATAAGCCTGAATTTCGATGTGTAAACTCGAATATGAAATTTGAAATTCTCCAAAGTTTGGGGAAGCTTTATGAAAATGCAATTTTTCTGCTTTGCAATTAATCAATCCGAACTCAGCTCGAAAATCCATAATGCTAGGGAAATCAACATGTTAAATTCACTTTTGCGTTATGGTTTTACGATCTCTATCGTGATTGGCTTACTGCTTAAGTCTTACGTCTAAAGTTTTTCTATGGCCTTAAGAGATACTCAATTCACCTCCACGCAGTGGAGGAGATATGTTGGATAAAGTGCTGATGGGTGAAAAAGCAGAAACGCACGCGTGCCCACACACGTAGATACGGATACACTCATCCTTCTTCGTGTTACTGTACGTTGCGTAACATTGACCACTTTTGCATTGCAAAAAAGAGTTACAGTTTGAGGTCATTATAATGGAAAAAGAGATTTCTTGTTTACTTACTAACTATAGGTATTTGTTCATCGGGAAATATTTTGCGCTGCAAAACTTAAAATTCTCTAAAGTTCAAGGAGCTTCATAAAAATGCATTTTAAACTTCATATTCGAATTCAGTACGGCCGAATTTATAAAGATTGACCGATTTCCTACGTTTTTCATTACAGGCCTTAAACTGCCATCATTTTTTCTTATCCTTCAGTTCATTACCTCGCGATGATCTGAAAATAAATACCGAAAACTGTCGAACGATAGAACATAATGTGTCTTGCTATAGCAATACAAACCTAATGTCTGTATATAATCCATAAATAATGCGCGAATCACACGTTAGCATAACACTGGTTCGGAAGCCCGAATCGCGTTGGCAAATGTATAGGCAATGCAGCCACGTGCAACAAATATAATGGAGTACTTCTGTAGCGTCCGCGCGCTGGCAAAGTGATGCACATCGCGTACACACCACGACTCGCGCTGAATTACGCTGAATGACGCAAAACGCCACGCTGCACTGTCGCGAATTATTTCGAAATAATCGCCGTATTTTATTTCAAGAGCCGTGTCGCGCGCGTTTTCAACTCGTACTCGTGCTTCTTTTTTCTCGCACGCGAAATCGAAACCCTTAAAAGAACGTCCTTAAACACGGGGGCTATATAACTATACGTATATAAATGTCGTAAATCGATCGATGATTAATTAACTTGGTTGCGTCAAATATCTATTTTATTCAGTAATAGAAATTTTCTTGACATGTTATTTAATATACAGGGTGAGTCATTTTAAATGATACACTGAAATATGTCACAAAATATAAAAGATGCGGAAAAATGTTTTAAATAGAAGTTGCTCAGTTACTATAGAGAGAAAGAAAGTAGTGACTTTGGTTGACTTAACTCTACGTTAATATTAATTACCCACCAAGCAATTGTTATTTTAAATAGAAATCCCTGTTTTTTTTCCAGAAATGAAAAGAGCAGGAAATTTTACGTTCAAATAAACCTTTGTGAACTTGATAACCGACTTTTAATAAATTAAAATTTTTATACAAAAAATGGTAGTATTTCGTACCACAACTTGGTTGTAGTACTGATGATCGACCGAGCACCTGTAGTACTGATGATCGACCTAAGGAACACTAAATCAATAAAATATCATGTGTCATCAGACTCAACTTTTTATTGATTTTAATTCCAATAATATAAACTGTATTTAATTATCTTTGAATCTTAAATTGCTCGTTTTTACTCAATACTAACAAAAATATAATTAAAATATTTTAAAATTCTATCTAAAAGTCCATAGAAATAGGGGAGGTCCGATTTGGAACCAATAGTTTTAAATCGGACCGGAAAATGCATTTTTACATTTTCCGTTATAGTTCGACACAGGTAAGAGATACGTCAAAATAGTCTGAAGCAAAAATGAAGGAAATTAAATGATCTTTCAAACGAAACAAAATTAGTTTTATTATTGGACTTTATGCCTTATAGAGAACAAAAACTGCAAATAGGTCCGATTTAGATTACTCTCCTCTATATACTATATATCAGCATTACCAGACTAGCAAGATTATCCCCTATTGAGATTTGGCAGTGAAATTTCTTACAGGAATAGAAAACTCGTATATCAATGTAAATTTCTGTTACGTACGAGTATGATGATCGCATGAATTTGCGAGCGACACATAATCGAGAGTGATTATCGTGCGTGCGTATACATTACATATGTATATGAGAAATGGCGCAGCGCGTAGTACGGGACACTATACAGCGCATTAACATGTGCGGTGGCTGCGTAAACATTGTAAACACTGATCGTGCCACGCAGTGGTTCTCACGTGAAGAGTCCATATGTACGAGTGTCTGAGTGCCTCGTTGCGTTAATCCGCAGATGTGCATCCGTTGCGGCGGTTTTACGAGAGAAGTGCGAAGAAATCTCATCGCGATGATCGTTAAGTAAATTTTCAACGTTGTCGGTCATTACACCACATGTATTACCGTTTACACATAGCTCGATGCGTGCGCTAAACGATGTCGTGAGTTGCACCAAATATATGTATATTATACTAGGACAGTCGTTCGTAACGCGAACGTTATGCGACGAAACAATCTGTGTTATGTATAATACAAACGAATAATTGTTAAACAACTTATTATTTCATCTTGCGCATAAAATTGTATAAAAGTCATTTTAAATTGTGGCGTCGAGTGGCTCACCGCTCGGTGCGATTGACTCGCGATATGTAGACCCGAGTTCAATCCCACGTGCGCCCAAACGCGATTTTTCGCGTTTAATGAGCCAAAAAATGGCTCCACCTGGTGATCAAAAGATCTATGATCAATCAGCGCCGTTCGGATTCGGCGTTAAACTGTAGGTCCTATACATCAGTATACATATCAGTTATAGATATTTGTCTCTAATATCTGACTGAGGTAGGATTCTGTGGATCAATCACCCACAAATCCGAAAAACAATCTGATTCGAGAAACGAATATAGGCCTCGGACAAAAGAGGAAGAGGCCTATAGACGTCCTATGCTCCACATAAGGAGATAAAAGGAGTCGTATCATTTTAAATTATCAATTCCATATACTAATTAAAATTAAATAATAAATAATTGATACGTAATTGGAGCGCGAGCGTGGCATGGCATACAGCGCATACTGGTCTATCATGTCAGAGGACCCGGCTTCGATTCTGGTAGGAACCAAAATACATATTTACGCTCGTGTTCCTTCTCGGAAAGGGCTGGCAATCTCCCGAGAGTATCCGCGCGTGCCCACAGAGATATCTATCGAAAAATCCGCCATTTGAAACCGGTATTAAAATTGTAGGGGTTACGCATCACCACAAGCATATAAGAGAGATGTAACACAGACCATTGGCCTAACTTATATAAGAGGAAGACCGCAACTGTCGTTAGAAGGACATGTTAATTGCGCTACGAAGCTTTGTAATGTGCTGCAGTTTGCAGATCCTTGTATGTGACGAGAATTAAGAAATTGAGAAGCATGTAAATACTGGGCAATACTTCGAGGTAATCAGTTTGTAATAAAATTGTAATTTCACAAAAATTAATCCATAAAAGAATGTATAAACTATATTATAGGAACGATATGTAGTTGCTCGGGGATTATCAATATACACAATACAATTGCAGTCAAATCAAAATTGTAACGCGGAATGCGTTGAGATAACACGAATAAGATACCAAACAAGTGTACAAAGCATCTCATTAAACGTTACGCGAGTGAAATTTGCGATGGGAAAAGTATGCAGTCAATTTAATCGCATTCCCTTTGCCATCTCGACCAAATTAGCACGTAATGGGATGTAGCCATGTCATCTGCAAACAAAATAACGCGTCGCAACCATGTCCGCGCGGTCCGGGGATTCCCTCTTATGTATTTACATTACCTTCGCGGACGGAGAAATACAATGTAATGCATTTACAACGCAAATAGGTCATGGCTGACTCACCGGAGGATAATCGAAGTCTGGGGAAGACGAGACTTCCAGGACATACTCCATTCTGCTCTGATTTGACATGTCTCCTAATGTAACGGGCGGCGTTAACGTACTCATCGCACTGGCTATCGTCTGCAAAAAAAAAAAGGCAATGTCTCTCTTTTTATCTGTCATCGCACACGTAGGAAATGCGTATCTTGTTCAAAAATTTTCTCGGTGTAGTGTTAAGAGTGCAGGATGCAGGTAATAAAAAAAAAGTGACACAAGTCTACACAAGTGTCGTCCTATCTTTATTATTATACCTACTAAATGTAAAGAAAGTTGGAATGATGCTTGTGTCACTAAATGAAAAGCACTTCCAGGCGCGGTTAGAGACAGTGACCGTCATACACGTCTGTCTCGAAGCACAGTCCCGTTCAAACGTCTCCTGGACGGCTTTCGTTTCGAGATTCCACGCGGTCCAATCAACAGTTCGACACATCACTTGCATTAACTTTATACGAGTGCAAGCGATGGACATCGGTAAATTGCTTACAAACCGCTCAAACAATAATATCGTCAGGCCGCGTAAAATCTCCATTACTTTTAGATAATTTTAGAAAATTCATCGACAATAGATATGAAAGTAAAAATAATTTTGTTAGAATTTATACGTTTACGTTAGAACTTATACGTTCTCATATGTGTAGTTATTAAATATAATCTGCTGTAAAAATAAAATATTATTTATGTCGGCGTTTTATTCATCAATCATCTATATTATTCTCTTGTGTCTATCTATATACATGTATGTGTATCCATACGCGTTATTAATGATGTAAAAATCGTATTAACTGTGTAATAAGAATTATATTGTTGATTAATCTTGATGGGCATGTTGCGATCTAAATACTTCATTAAAAAATCATATTTGTAATATTCTCGCTAGAACCACTTTTATTTTGTACTGTAAACTCATTAGTTTGCTGTAATTGTTATTACGTTGTTAATTACTTCGTAAAAATTACGTATGCAAAAGATTGTCGAGGGCAGCGCCGTTTGTGTCAACGCAGTGTACGGAAGTGATTGCATTTTGTTTGAGGACGCGGAGGGGGAGAGGGGGAAGAGGGGGAGCAGAACAGAATCGCGCGCGCAGTTGAACACGAGTTTAAATGACAAATCGGTGACAAAATGCTCTTGCAGTTAGATTTGATATCGCAAATTAGCGTGTCACGTAACGGTTATGTCGAGTGTTATTTCGAGCGCGCAATAATTTGTCCACTAAAACTCGGTTTGGAAGCAAACACGAAATCCGTGATGCAACACTGACGAAAATTTGACCATCGATGAGATCATCGCTAAAAAAAAAACAGAGTCCCAAGTAGAAGAGAGAACAGTTCTCATAATACTCTATTATTTTTCCAACTAAACTCTCTTATCAAATTACACAATCTCTCTTCTTATAAATTGATTTTGATTCTCGTGTAGTAGGTAAATTTTTTTACGCAAAAGAATAAAGATGTAAGGTGATGTAATACTTACTAAAATGGCGTCCCTAATATTCTTCTTAATATCTTCAATTTTCTGCCGCTTTTCCCTGTGAACATGAAGATGCGCGTTAGATCCAGATGTTGGTTTTGTTAGAAATCCGACACCAATTTCTTGTTGACCGCGTAACTAATAAATATGACTAACAGTATTACGACTAACAATGCGCATTATAGCTATACACATAACAGACATAGTAGCGTGTAAGAGTAGGTCGACCAGCAATAATGATCGAGTCACGAGCTGAATGAAACGATAGCATAGACCGTGTTCTTTTATCGGTATTTTCAGACCAATTCGATAATTTTAGCGCGGCCAACTACCACGCGTTATTTAAAAGAACTCGCTGGAGAACTCATGGCCGATCAATAATGCGTATTTCTGGACAACTGTCTGTTTTTCAAAGATTCCGGCTGAAGAGAATCCCTCTTTGTTTGAGGCATTCAAATTAAAAACTCATCGCAAAATAAAAAAGTTTGGGTAGAGGATTGAGAAAGAAGTTACAAAAAAGTAAAATATAGAAACGAAAGACGTTCTTTTGCTTCACAGTTATCATCGTTTAAAACGAATAGAACTTACGCATGCGAGCGTAAAAATTGGAAAAAATATGTACTGCCGCAACATCTGTGCGAGAGAATACACGTATTCTCTTTTATATCGTGCACGAATTATCGAATTGTAACGAGGCTCCTCTTGAAGACAAAAGATTTACGACGGATTAGCGGAAGATCAAGGAAACCAAGAAAAATAGAATACACGAGAGACGTATAACCGCACGAGATAACTATTGCAAATTACCAGAAAAATGGAATAAATGCGGACGTGTACAAGAATGAGAAAACAGATAATCATATCCAATTCCAAGTGAAAGAATAAGAATCTGAAAAATCGTCCAGAACGTTGCTAAATAAAAAAAAAAAATTAAACGCTTCTCTTTCATTTTATGGAAACGAGAAAAGCGTTGATACATAATATATGTTAAACAAGATAATTCTTGAAAATGCATTTCGAAGAATTTCGAAAAATAATCAGATGACAGATGAGAAAAGAGCGATGGTAGCGCTAATAAATATAATGCGATAATGCAGCGTCGCATATTTGAAAAATAATAAAGGAAACAGTAATAATGGATCCGTATCAGCCACGTGTTGATATAACAGATACAGCTAATACTGCAAGCAGCGGTCTAAACCGGTTATAAGATGAATCATCACGCAGAAGGCGCTAAAGAATTAAGCTAGAAATTTGCGATTCAACTTCTCGCGGTCGATTCTCGAGATTCGGCCTTAAGTCGAAGAAAGAATATCCCGAGAAAAACGACGAACGCGCTGCCTGCGCGAATAAAAGGATTGCAAAAATAGCGTCAACATGCTAGCAGCTTTGGGTTTTCGGTGTACAGTGATAAAAGAGATGCTCCGGCAAAATTCAATGAACCGCGCATACGGTTGGCCTCGCGTTTCGTAAACGGCTTGCGTGCGAGTACCAGCGAGTAAGATCGCATTTCGCTGACATTTTATTGTAATGCGAGCCTCGCGATGAAAAGCCTCGCGGGAACAAAGGAGAGATTACACGGCCCTCCTCCTTTAACGGGTTAACGACATACGCTTGTCGGATTGGTTCAAAGTGTAAAATCGGACGTAGAGCCGCGATCGTCGCGTAAAATTTAATAGAAAAAGTAACGACGGAACTTACGCTTCGCTGAAACCATTGACGTGTAGTATCCTCATCTGTTTGACGATCGTGCTTTTGCCGGACTCACCCGCTCCTGAAACAGGACGAAAATTTGACGACGCGTTAATCTATCTGGCGTGTTGCCGCTCTGCAACGCTTGTGATCGTATAGAATGATGACTCGGCTGACGCATCGCGCGGGACTTGCCGCGAGATGTGTAATAACGCACGTAAAAAAAATATCTCACAGAATTGAGATTTCATCAGCCGCGCCGTGAGATATGGTGTGTTACGTACGTAGTATCGATCGGCCGCGATAAAAGGTATCGTGGATTTAACGATACATCGCGAATGAACGACTATAGAATATGCGCATTCACGTGCAATTTTCATGCGTTGCGAGCGGAATCCAGTCCGAATTAAAGTTCGGCGTTCCCTAAAACGAACCGGGACGGTGCGCGAGATATAGTGACCTAGATCGCAATGGTGTTAATTAAGCGCTCTTTTGATCCTTTCAAACATCAGCGAAATATGAAATCTTTTAATTTTCTGCCTTTTAACGTAATTCACAAGTATCTTATAACATTACACTTCCTGTATTCTTAATAATACTCCTATCTGTATAATATTCTGTTTATTTTACATACCTAACCATTCAGCGTCACTTTACAAATGTTAAATATTCTCGAAATGCTAAACTCTGAAATTCTCGTTGTCTCTTAGAGACTCGTAAATAAAGTGAATTGCACGACAAGTTTGTGGACGTTTAATCGGGGAAAGCTTGTAATTCTCACAATCAGTAGCATTAATTGACGTAATCCCTGCAGGTGACAAAAGCTTTAGGTATTATTGAGGATGTAATCACTTAATGTAATCGTGGGGCAGACAAAGTCCCCGAAATCATAAGATTCATATGAAAATTCCTGTGTACAATCCGATAATTACATGTGCAACCGCGAAAAAACATTGTGTAATATTAGATAAAATTGAATATGAATTTATAACATCCACCGCTGAAGATGGGAAAAAAACTATTGCCGAAACGTCCGGAATTGGCTCTTAATCGTATATGGATCACGAATTAGAAAGATTAAATAAGTGTTTTTGTTAAATTATAACTAACATTGTGACTCTATTTGCCTTTATACCGATGTATAATTTTTGATTACATAGGTTTATACATTGATTATTAATCGTGAGAGTTGTTATCTTGATAATGTTTTAATATTTAAGGTTTTAATTGTTATTACATAAAATTGCTTATTTTACCAAGTGACTTCATATGTAGTGAAGCGAATTACTCTCGTAATGAAATGAAATTGTATAAAATCATGTAATCTGTGGGACAAATATTTCAGCCAGTGGTTACCACCCCTGTAAAGCTAACCCCCCCCCATTATTTAAAAAAATAATTTTTCTTGAGAGTTCCGAATAGATTTCCAATAGTTCCAGAGTTCCTGATAGGTTTAAAAAATAGTTCTGGCCATTAAAGCCGTAAAAACGCGATTTAAAAAATGGAGGGGCTCTCTCTCAAGAAAAATTATTTTCTTAAATAATGAAGGGCTAGCTTCACAGGGGTGTGGTTACCCCTTCGCTCATCAAGTGAATCACGAAATAAAGTTTCCAAATGTCACAAGAAACACAAGCTATAGTATATCGCTATGTGTATTTCTCATATATACCTACTAGTGGACGTGTAATTTTTCGTACGTCAAGCATGATTAATATGTGTTATGATTAATACGTGACTTGTGTATATGTGATGTATCGTATGTTGATGTTACGATGAACACGCGCGTGTGATTTGTATTATGTGTTTAATTCTGGCTCTAAATTTTTTTCGAAGATTCCCGTGATCGAAGTCGCGAACGCGACGATCGCACAAGTTACAGGAGATCCAATCGGCCACGGGTTTCGCGCGGTCGTAATGATGACACGCGAGGTGGAACAATACAGCGACAGCTGTTGCTCCGCGTGCGTCTCCCGCGTCGTCGCCGCGCCGACGGCGAGGATAACGACGATGACGACGTATTCGCATCGAATTAGAACGACGACCTACATAAACGCCGGATAATACGAAGGCGAATGTAGACGGAGCGCTGCTGGGTTAAACGTCGTGCTAGCTAATAGGTGTATAATCAATGTTTTTCGCACGTACGGTATTTTCGGTGTGGAAGGAGGGAGAATACGTGAAATAGGAAAGAGAGAGAGAGAGAGAGCGAGAGATCTGACAAAAAAACTACGTTTTAAAAGCAATCTAAAACTATTAATAGACTTTAGAATTACAAAATAAGTATCGTTTACCACAAAGAATCGCAATAACGGTTAAAAAATAAAAATTATAAAATCGGTTATTGCTGGACATCACAGAAACAGGGGAAAAAAAAAGGATAACTTTATTGGGTCAGTTTATTGTTTGGGAAAAAGTTTAACGAAAAAGACGCGCGGGACAGAACGAAATCTACAGCAAGAAAAAGTGGAACGTAAAAAATATACTGTTTCAAAATAACAGGAAATAAACTTTTGTGCGGGCAGCAAATATTTGTATCGACTATAGGATTAAGCGCTGCATTTTATGGAACGTATGATACTTGAAAAAATATGAAAACTCGTTTAAAGGTGTCTAAAAATCATTAAAGAAAAAAAAAAAAAAGAGAGATTTATCCTATTATACTGAAGAGCACAATGAATAAACGAAGTAATGTAATAAGCACAAAAGCTGAATTTTTTGTTACAACGAGACAGGAGAATACGAAAGAGAGGGAGAGGGAGAGAAGGAAGAGAGAAAGGTGAAGGAGACGAGAATCGAAAGCGACGAAAAGAGGCGACAAACACGAGGCTAGCCGCTGGGGATATTCGTGGGTGCTTGCAGCTCGTACGATAATCGATAAAATTGAATTACGCGCCGTTGAACATCGTGATAGCGGCCGACCGGTCGGGCTGCTCTCACCCCCGGTTTCGCGCGGAGGTTCTCTTTGTTGAAAATCGACAATCGCCCGTTGGGTCGGCCCCGTCCGTCCGATATTTAAACGCGCCTCGATTCACGAGCCTGCGAACGCCCGCGCCCGCGCCGCTCCGAAGAGGACCAACGAGCGGATTATCTTTGGAGCGGAGCACCGCGCGCGGGGGATATGGGCCCCTGTAACTAACGCAGCGGATTTAACGCGGCCCTCATCTGCTGCACAATTTTTACCTCGTCGCGTCCTCGCGCGGTTCGCTTTAATTAAAAAAAAACATGGCGCGCGCATCCCACGCGAGATTAACCTCTCTCCTCGCCTACAATATCTCGTGTGAGATACTCCCGTAGTCCCGGAATTCGGGCCCTATAAACGTAACGGCGACGAGCGAGGATCATTTTTTCGGATGCAAAAACGTATAATATAAATACGGATCGTGCAGGCTCGGGCGAAACGTAAACACGAGCCCGATGCACGATCGACCTTGCTTGTTGATTGTGACGCGCGCCGGGACTTGAAACTTAAATACGCGTGCGGTTACCAAAAGGAGTTGAAAAGCGTCGTTGGATTCGGCCCGAGGAATATCGATTGCGCTCGTCTTCGCAATTTCGCATCTAAGCGCGCGCGCTTATATATATATATATATATATA